TTGGAGTAAACTCCATGAGATCTGGAGATTCTCAGAAGACCTCACTGCCTAAGAACCCAGAGGGCTGGGCACAGAGCAGAGCACTGGGCACGGACTGCTCCAGAAGTCTTGCCTAACAGGCAGACTAGCATCTGGTTGTTAAGGGAGTCAGGGACATCCCAAGGACATCTTTGGCCTTTCAGGGTGCAAACACTGGACTCTCCCTCACACTTTCCTGCGGGCTGTGGTCAGAATTCTGAGCCAGTAGTGTTCGGTCTGATCTGTGGTGACATTTCTGGTCTTCTTAAGAATGCTGGACTTGAAAACATCATGCTAGAACACCCAAAAGTGGAGGTAAGCAATCTCAAGGGACAGGTGTGTACTGAGCGCAGCCGGGACTCCGGATAAGAGCCCATCAGGGAAGTCCCACTAATGCTCACTGACTACAGACAGACTTCTGGTAAGGGTCACTCTAATGACAGTGGTGAGGACAACAGGGAGGCGGGAAGCCACACTCATCTCCCTTGTCCCAACAGACGTGGCGGGGGGGACACCAATTTTAATCTATTTTCTAATAGCTGTGACCAAATACCTGGTAAGAAGCAACTCAAGAGAGAAGGGTTGATTTTGGCTCTGTTTAAGAAGGGATAAGAGAGCTGTTAGATGGTTTAATGAACAAAAGTGTCTACGGCCAAGTCCGATGACCTGACTTCAATCCCTGGCACTCGCATGGCAAAAGGGGAGACCTCCACTTGTGCACAGTGGCATGTATGTGCCCCTCCTTCCACAGACAAATAAATGTAAGTTTTAAAATTTAGAATCAACCAAAGAAAGGCTCTGGCCCATCATGTCGGGGAAGGGACAGAAGGCGGGGTAGCTGGTGACATCTGCATCAGCCTAGATGATCGCTGCTGCTCAGCCTTCTTTCTCCTTTCTCTTCAGCCCGGGATCTTGGCGTCACATTTAACTTGGGTCCTCCCACCTCAGTTAACTCAATCTAGGAAGCCCCTCCCTGACAAGGATAGAGGTTTGTCTCCCAGATGACTCCAGACCCTGTCAAACTGACAGCGTCATGGTGAGGTTTCCGGTTGGGCAGTCCTGAGACTTGACTGTGAACATTTCAAGTTGTGCTGCATTTCTGAGGGTTTCCAACAAAGCTTTGCCCTAAGGGGGCCTCCCAGGTCCAAAACTCTTGAATCACCACCATCTCCCTCCCTCTGCCCTTTCCCCTTTTCTCTACGCGCCCCAACCTTAAATGCCTTCTTGTGAGGCATAGATGACCCCACCAGGACCTCCTGAGTAGGGGAAGGCAGGCACATTAGTGGGTATTGGGGCTGCACCTTGTCTCTGAGCTCCAGCTGGGGCAAAGCCTACAGTCTCCTGTCAGTAAACAACACCCCAGGGATGCGGAGAAAGACCCCCGTCATTGGGTAAGAGAAGAGGGTCTCAAATCTTTCACTTTCCCATCCAATAGAGTCATTTTCTTTACAAGGCTCCAGGTCAAGCTGGGTCCTAATTCAGCAACCCCGAGCTGTTCACAGCTAAGCTGGTGCAAAATGTAGCAGGATTTCGGACAGGAAGCTGTGTGGGTGCGTGGGTGTGAGGGACCAGTTTCCTCCCTCTCTGACACTTTCTATGCTTTGGGGACCTTGCTTAGTAACCGCCCTTCCCCCAAGCCCAGCAGACCCCCCCCCTGAGGCCTCTGCTACAGCAGCCGTGAAGACAGCAGGATGAGTCCCATCTTCAAACACTAGTGCTGGCCCTTGTCTCCCCTAGACACAGGTTCGCTTCTGACACCAAACAGGACTTTCACTTCTGCAGAGTGGGGGTAGCTTGGCGAGGGTTTGGTTTTCAGGACGCCTGTCCTCTCCTGCTTTTTCAGAGAGGATTCAATGCCCTGCACCCTGGGCTATCCTTGCCTGGGTTCCCTGCCTACATAGCACTGCTTAGGGAGCAGGCAGAGGCCATCTGGGCCATGAGTACTCTGCAGCTGCGGAGGAAGTCTCGAGAGTTCAGAGGCTAATTTGAATACCGTAGTAGATAGAGCAGTTTACACATTGGAACTCAGTGGGTGGATCTGGGAGCCTTAGGAAACAAGCAGCCGAATGTGTAGATTCAACCCCTCACAGATGGGCTAACCTCAACCCCTCACAGACGGGCTATCCTCAGCCACAGTCCCTGCGAGCATTCTGCTGCCAGGAGAATACGTCACACTCAGACTCCAGTAATAGGAGCCTGCCCCGGCCAGCTGCTGGGCAGGGACCTTGGCCTAACTCTAGGCACCCAACAGGGAGCACTCTTGAACCAGTGACTTCCTCTTCTTGGGCCTGAGACCCTCATCTGTAAAGTGAAGGGTAGACGGGATGACTTGAACATCTCTTGTACTTAAAAACACACCATTCTGTGGGAAAAGATCTTCACCACCCCACACTGGACAGAGGGCTGATCTCCAAAATATACAAAGAACTCAAGAAAGTGGTCATCAAAAGAACACATAATCCAATTTAAAAAAATAGGGTACAGACCAGAGAACTCTCAACAGACGAATCTCAAATGGCTGAAAGACGCTTAAAGAAATGCTTAACATCCTTAGTCATCAGAGAAATGCAAATCAAAACAACTCTGAGATTCCATTTTACACCTGTAAGAATGGCCAAGATCAAAAACACTGATGACAACTTATGCTGGAGAGGTTGTGGGGTAAAGAGAACACTTCTGCATTGCTCGTGGCAATACAAGCTAGTACAACCCCTTTGGATGTCAGTGTGGCAATTTCTCAGAAAACTAGGAAACAACCTTCCTCAAGACCCAGCAATACCACTTTTGGGTATGTATCCAAAGGATGCTCATTGTGCCACAAGGACATGTGCTCAACTATGTTCATAGCAGCATTGTTTGTCATAGCCAGAACCTGGAAACAACCTAAATGCCCCTCGACCAAAGAATGGATAAGGAAAATGTGGTACATTTACACAATGGACTCATAAGTGGCTTTTAGACATAAAGCAAAGAAGACCATCCTACAATTCACAATCCCAGAGAATCTAGACAACAAAGAGGACCCTAAGAGAGACTTACATGGATCTAATCTACATGGGAAGTAGAAAAAGACAAGATCTCTTGAGTAAATTGGGAGCCTGGGGACCTTGGGAGAGGTTAGGAGGGGAGAGGAAAGGAAAGGAGTGAATATATATATATATATATATATATATATATATATATATATATATATCACAATAAAAACAAACAAGCAACCAAAAATCCCACCATTCTGTGGTTCTCCCAGCAGATATAAACCCCATCTTCTAGCACTATCCTTCTTAGGCCTCATAAAGGAATTATGCAACTTTAACCTTTGCATGGCATTGACCCATATGGGGGCTGCCTTTCAGGACAGGGGGATCTCAGGAGTGGCCAATCTCAAGTCCTTTGCCTAGGACGGGTCACAATCTATTCTCTTTCCTCTTGTTTTTTCTTTCTCTCCTTTTATTATTTTTTTTAGTGTGTGTGTGGTACATGTGTACGTTTTCATGTGTGCCAGCACATGTGCTTTCATGCATGTAGAGGACAGAGGTCAGCACTGGATGTCCCCTAACATTGCTCACGACCTCGCCCCCATTTTTTCTTCTTTCACTTTCTTCCCTGCCCCCCAGACAGCGTTTTCCACCAAACCCAGGACTCACGGATTGAGCCAGACTGCTAGCCACTGAGGTCCAGCGACCCAGCTGTCTCTCCTCCACTGAGGTCACAGGTGTGCTCCACAGGCAGCTGGCTTTCCCACTTACACAGATGCTGAGGGTGGAACACAGGTCCTCCGGCTCGCACGGCAAGTCCCTCCCTGGTTGCGTGACCTCGCCCGCATCGTCTCTCTTCCCTTTTTTCTTCTTTCGTTTTTCTTCTTTAGCATCTACACCAAAGTCCTTTCCTTTCTGGCCCCACTTCCTGTTCCCTTTATAAGATGACTCCACCTAGCCGGACAATGGTGGTGCAAGCCTTTAATCCCAGCAGGTGGATCTCTGTGAGTTCGAAGCCAGTCTGGTCTACAGGGTGAGTTCCGACCGCCAGGGCTACACAGAGAAACCCTGTATTGGAAAACAAAATAAAGCAAGCAAACAAACAAAAAGACAACGTTGACGGTCCAAGGAAAATGTAAGAGGCAGAGACCGCTTTCCTAGGGTCTTTCTCCCACGCTGTCCTTGGCTTGATTTGGCATTTCTGCAAAAAGAGTAAGCAGTTCAGGGGGGCGGGCAGTCTGTTCACTGACTCTGTTCTGTCTTACAGAATGCCCAAGCTGAGCAGTTGGGAGCCCCAACCAGGAACAGAAAATTCTCAGGGCTGGAGAGAAGGCTCAGCAGTTAAAAGCACTGGCTACTCTTGCAGAGGACCCAAATTTGGTCCCCAGAACTCACAGGGTGGCTCACAACTGCCTGTAACTCCAGTTCCAGGGGATCCAACAGGTTCTTCTGACCTCTGGGGACTCCTGCTATTAACATTGCAGCGTTAGTTTCTGGATGTGAACAGACAGCCATTCCGGCAGATACATAAAATAAAAAATCATTATTTTTTGAAAAGAAGGAAAGAAAAGAAAAAAGAACCATACCACCAGTGTGGTGTGATTCCAGAGCTTAAAAGCCTAAAGCAGGGGGATTTCTGTGAGTTCTAAGCTAGCCTGGGAAAGAGTAAAATCTTACTTCGAAGAAAATAAATAAAAACAAAAATAGAATTCTACAGCTGAAGTAAGATAAGGTGGACCAGAGAGAAGACTGCATAATAAGTGAGCCAAGCGTGAGTCACAGTCAGCTCGCCCACTGGGACCAAACTGGGTCAAAGACTTATTGGAAGCTTCGGTGGCAAAGGAAATCCCACAGTCTTACGTTCTGCCATAGCCAAGGGTACTTCCCCATCTGCTTTGAATGTGGCTGTCAGGGGGAGGAACAGCAGAGGGACCTGCCTGTATAGTGTGACCTTCCCAAGGAAGGAACTCTATGTGCTCTCCAGTCCAAGAAGTTGGACAAATGAAACACGGTAACTATCTTTATTATCCAAATTCTAGATGAAAGAGCCTGCCTAAGGCCAGGACCGGTTAGCTGCCAAAGTGGGTGAGGAGTGATTCCTGTGGGCGCCTTCTGGGTCCACCGCTCTAGAGCTTAAAGACAGGTTCCTTCTGAGTGCATGCTGAGCCCAGGCTGGCCCCAGAGCTCCTAGGAGGGGCACAGGTACCTCTGCACTCGTGTGCGGAGGGAAACTCTTGGGTGTGCAAACCCAGGTTCTGAGCTGGACAAAAGAGGAGCGAGCTGGGGTGTCATCGTGGCAGACAGCTGGCCACAGGGTCTGGCCGAACCTGCACAAAGTTCATAGGGCACAGCAGCGGGCACATCTTCTCATGCTCCTTCAGGGCCTCGCCCAGGTGTCGCAGTTCCTCCTTCAGCTTTGAAATCTCCCTGCGCAGGACGGTGTTCTCCTGCTCCAAGCACTCGTACTCCTGTTCAAGAAAGAGGGCAGGTAGAGACCAGTGTGGAGGTGCAAGACAGCAGTCCCAGCGCTTGGGAGGGAGAGGCGGGAGGGTCGAGAATTCAAGTCCAGCCTGGACTACAGAGGACTCTTCCCTTTTATCCTGAGACAGGGTCTCACTCTGTATCCCGGGCTAGCCTGGTGCTTGCTGTGTGTCTCAGGCTCCTTCAAGCTTGTCATTTTCCTGCCCACCTCTCGGGTTACTAGGGTTTCAGATGCGTACCGTGATGCTGGGTCATCTCGTGCTTACTGGCTTCAGATCTCTCTCTCTCCACAAGAATGAAATAGTCCTAACAGTACAGCTTTCCTTTTTGAATCAACACTACTGGAATATAATTTACACGAAATGTGTTTATATTAAGTACCTGTAATTCAGGGAGCAGTGTCAGAAGTATCTATACCCCTGTGTTAATATACAGACCATCTCTGTCACCCCAAAGTGGTCCCTTCTGCTCATTTCCATCAGCCCTCATCCCCAACACTGACCTGCTTTTTGAAGGTGTCTGGTGGGTTCTTGGCCACCTTACTACCCATAACAGGACCTGGAACAGCATGCCACTGGCTGCACTAATAAATGCATGGACACATGCCTTTGGCTGTACAAAGTGCATGGATGCATACTGTTCCTTACAACACTCTCTTGCTGTCTCCTTCTGCATCAGAGTGTAGAGGTTCAGAACTGGAGGGGATCAAAGAGCTCCTTTTCATCTCCCCCAAACTGTGGAGGTACTTCTCACATGCAGGGCTAGTTCACACATCCATCTTGGGCTGGGCACCTCACCTTCAAGGGACAGTCCCTGCCATTTCTGCGATACTCTGTCCTCTTTGTAGTGACTGAAAACTCCTCCACATCCGCCCAATTGAGCTGGGCTCTGCCTAATGGGGCCGCACAGAATGAATCCAACCTCGTAACCTCAGTTCTTGAAATGATAAGCGACAGACTTGTCCCTCCCCCTTAGATGTTCTCTGAGCCTAAATTGTTCTCTCTCTGAGTTCCTTGTGTGGGACTACTAGCCCCTCTGCCCTCCTGACCACCATCCCTGGCATACGCTCCAAGTTACCAGATTCAGAACGCAGTGAACATGCAAGGGAGCACGCAGGAGCCTGACGTATGGATCGCCCTCCCTCATGCTGGACCTCAGCCCCTGGAAACGTCCGAGTCTGCAGAAAGCCGAGCTCCACGCGCAGGAGCTGCTGACGCCTCTTGAGTGACTGATAGAGACTGAGGACAGGGCTTCCCCGACCACTGAGTCCCCACTCCGTTCATTCTGAGTCTCCACGGTGTCATCTCATGGACACGTGCGGTCACACAACCTTGTGCCATCCAGGAACGTGGTTAGCACTTGTCTCTCTTTAATCCAGGCCATTGATAAAGTCTATGGGACTCAGTCCATGGCACTCTATCGATCACCATCAGTGGCCCTCTCTGGGCTGAGATGTCTTTAGATATTGCTGAGCCATCATTCCCATTCATGCCTAGCTCAGTTTGTTTGGATAGACTGTGACGCAAGCATACGGGGCACTTACTGTGCTGAGGACCCCACCTCATTTCCCACTATATCTTCTCAATTACTAATCATTTTTAGTAAACATCAGTAAGAAGTCTGGCCTTAGAACCCCTAAGATACACGAGCATCCCTGGTTTGCACTGGGTTCCATACTCCAAACCACCTTTCTATAGTTCCTGAGTCTGCAGCAAGATGCCCGGAGCTTCTGAGATGTGTCTCTGGACTCAGAAGGGAGCCTAAGCCTGACTCCACTCTAAGGTGTCACGGCTTCCCCAGACCACTGTTCCGAAGGTTGCCAGAGGATTCAAGCACAGGGGACGGACACCTCCGTGTGTGTGTGTGTGTGTGTGTGTGTGTGTGTGTGTGTGTGTGTGTCTGGTCTCAGTACCTCAGTACCACCCCTCCCTAGTCTCTTTCCACATATATGCATTGTGCAAAATGATGGATTTCATCACGATGTGCGCCGAGTACCTTGCTCATATCTGTGCTCCACCCTCATCCTCCTCTGCACCCCATGCCTCACCGCTGGTCCCTTCCTGTTACCCGCAGGGACTTTCTTTCCTGGGATTTAAGTTTTATTCTTAAGTTGACTGAGGGACTTTTACTGATCTGGTGGAATAGGAGGCAAAAATAAAAAGAGAAGCACTAACAACATCCAGGCAGGACTAATAAGAGGCCCTGGGAGGGGAGGAGGGGGGCAGAGAACACCAAAGTGGGAGAAAGGAGCAAAGAACATAACCATCTCTCAGTGAGGAGAGCGGAACTACAGCTCAGTGGTGGAGCATTTGACTGCAGATCAAGAAGTCACCGGTTCAAAACCAGACAGACACCCTCTGTGACATGCTTTCTAGTTCAAAGTCTGTTTACTGCCTGAGGAGTTTGAGGCTCCTTGGCTAAGAGAGCATCAGAGAGCACTACCCTCCCCCAGTTATTTAAGTCACACTCTCAAAGCAGAGCCCTCAAAAACATGGGTGGTGGAAATGACTAGATGCCAGGTATGCCCTCAAAACTCAGGTTGCTTGAGCTGGGATGTGGCTCAGTTGGTAGAACGCTCGCCTAGCATGCACGAAGCCCTGGGTTTGGTCCCCAGCATCACACACACAACATATAATGTAGTCCTGTAATCCTAACACTCAAGAGGTAGAGGCAAGAGGATCAGAAGTTCAAGGTCAACCTCGGTTATATACTAAGTCTGATGCCACTGTGGGTTACACAAGACACTGTCTCAGAAGAACCTGGTGGGTAACAGGTGCAAGGTAGGAGAGAACTGGCTCCTGCAGGTGCTCTCTGACTTCCAGGTGCCCTCTGACCTCCACACATATGCACTGGCACATATGCACTCAAATGCACACAATAACATGTAATAAAGCTGTGGTCTTCTGCCAGGATTTCGGAGTATGTATCACTGATGAGTGGTAGGTGATCTTGTATCCAGTGGGCAGAACCAGGGATCCTGTTCAACATTCTTGAGGGCCCAGCCCAACCCCCACCCAACACATACAGCAAGGAGGCTCAATGCCACTTGTGCTGAGATTGAAGTCTAGAAGTCTGGGATCTCTAGAGTCAGAGTCATTTAAGGCCGGGGACACAAATGGGGATGACTAGAAAAAGTGACGCGATGGACCGGAGGAAGCAGAGACCCCAGGAGGACATGGCCACACAGAGAACCCATTTCACAAGTGAGACAGCTAAGCTCTGAGAGGCCCAGAGATCCCATCCCCAGTGTCAAGGTCAACCCCAACTCAGGCATCACCAACTTTGCCTTCTTTTGGCAGTGTGGGCCCATATTTCCCCACAGTAGTTACCAGAATTGAGATCGCAGGACTCTACAGTTGGTCTGTCCTGAGTACTGAAGGAAGAGCGTTCCCACCTGAAAAGCAGGGCTATCAGCAAGAGCTGTGCAGATTCAGTTTCTAAACCTGTGTGCGCTGTCACCAGAATTCTCTCCGAACACGCAATAGTTGACAACCCCAGGGCAACACTCACCACATCACATTGCCAAAGCCATCTGTCAGGTTGACATTTAAGGTTCCCGAGGCTGGCACTGTTCCCACCCTCGTCTGACTCAAAATTCTTTCTCAGTCTGACGTCTTTGGGTGCCTGGTCAAATCTGGCCCACTTCTAAGCCAACGTTCAGTGTGGCACAGCCCACTCTGTGGCTCCATCTTGGTTTCCATCGGGGAATGCTGACTCAGCCTAACTGTCTAGAGAGAGATGCAGATCCAAGCCCCAGAAGAAGTGTGAACACCAAACACCGAGGGCCAGGGACCCTTCTCGTCACAACTATCAGCAACCATGACCTTGGGGGAAATTCCTGACTGTCTATCTTGAGTGCCAGGCTGCAGGCTTTGGTAATGGACAACCAGAAAGAGAGGGAAGGAGCCGAGAAACACAAACGTGGGAGGCCCAGGTATTGGGTTCAGGACAACTGGGCTGAGTGAGGAGCACAGATGAGAAAAGTAGCCTTTGTGAGCAGTCTTGCTCCAAACACCCCCTTTCGTGACATTCATAGAAAGTCGGAAGCACACAGCTACTGTGCTATTCAGGGCTCTGCTCTGTGCTTCAGGACTGGGAGAGGAGAAGATAAGGAAGCGCCTAGGTCACAGGTCACTCCCCACACAGTATCCGGTAGTCTCAGCTACCAGCAGGCCTCTCATCAGGCGTGAAGTTTCCAGGCCTCACATCGTGTCCTTTCCTCAACCTAGGTGTGGCCTGGGAGCCCCACAGGTCCCCTGGGCTTTCCAACATAATCTACCGCCGTGTGCCAAGTGTCCTGCATTTGGGTCACTGGGTCTCAGCGACAATACTATTTACCCCACTTTCTACCAGCACCTCACCTCCAGGATGCAGTTAGTCAATCAGTGCCCTACTCAACATAAAACACAGATTCTCCATAGCTATGGCATCCTATGGAAGGAGGTTGGGAGGTGACCATGAAGGGACTCCCCACAAGGTGTCTTTGGGACCATAGCTGACAGCTTTAGATTCGTGGACAGATGCAGCCAACGCAGTCATTGCTCTGACCGACTTGACAGCGTTTCTCAACAATGCTGGCCCTGCAGAGGTGAGGCGCACAGGTGATTTCCTCAGCTGTGTGTCAGTCCTGGTGAGGCAGAGAGTGACTCATTCTCTCCTGAGGAGACTGGCTTCAGATCAATTTGCCCTCTTCTGGGAAGGGCACAGCTGCTAGGCCACACAGATGTTGGGCAGAAGAACATCTCAGGGCACTGTGCAAGGAATGCTACCCCTGGCTTTCCAAGGGGCAAGGCGGGCAGAAAGACAGTTCTCCTTAGTTCCTGGTTTGCTTGGTTATCACGGTTAGCTATGAGACACTGAGAGAGAACGAATGTGCCCTTTGCATGCCCTTTCTTGGTACTCATAAGGCTATAAGGTCATCTGTTACCTTCTGTGGCAGGAAAGACATTGGCCCCTAAAGATGCTTCCATCCTAATATCTGGGACTTGTGAACAGGAACCTTATTTAACAAAAGGGACTTTGTGGATGAACATGAAATGGGGGAGAGGAATCATCCAATTGGGTTCAGTGGAATTGGGGGAGTCCTAAGTCAGGAGGGAGAGGAGCAGATGCCACAGTGGGACAGCGTTGCTTTGAAGATGGAAGAGCACAAACCAAGAAACAAACTAGAAACTCCCTAGACGTTGACAAAAGCAGAGACATGGATCCCCTCCAGAGCCTGCAGCAGGAACGCAGCTCTGTCAACATCTCCACAGTAGCACGGTGGAATGCGTTTTGGACAGCTCACTGTCAGCACTGGAGGGTCATGAATTTGCTGGAATTCATTACAGGAAACGAAGCCTGTGCTTCCCAAGGACACACACGAGGTCTCTTCTCCCTGTGACTCCACAGCAGGGCTGCGCCCAAGGAAGTGCTTAGTCAGTGTTTTGGATTAACTGTGTTTTGTTGCATGAAAAACCTTGTCTAAGACACTTGGTCATGTCTGCATACACGATCACTCTGAACTTACAGATGGCAATACACCTGACTTAAACTGGGAGTTTCTTGAGGGAGGGACCTGGCTGTCCAGTGGGCACACATGGCCTGAATTTGGGGCTAGGCACTAATGGGGAGTCCCTGGTCCTCAGGAGGTTACTTGGCAACACAAAGCCTTAGGACCTTAGGACTTAAGAACCACGACCTTAGGAACAAGGGGGAAGAAGGAGGCGAAGGGTATGCCACGCTTCTGTGGAAGGTTTAAGATCTCATGAAGATGGGGAAGCCCATCGGGAGATCCTGGCCTCCAGGCCTCAGTCTTGCTGCATCCAGTAAAGACTCTGACACTTTGAATGTATGCCAGGGTGTGGGTTTCTGTCAGTGAGTCTCAGCTCCCTGCGTTGCATGCATTCTAAACATGTTTGGTTGTGGTGAGGGAGTTTTTAGATATTCTCTCCTCTCTAAGGACTGAATTCCTGAGCTGTCAAAGCCTTGGCCAGCTTTGGGGAAATGTGCCTGGTGAGAGAGCAGGGCAGCGCCGTCCGGCAGGAGAGAGCTAGACCACATCTTAACTCCCACACCAATGGCGCACAGCAAAGTGTAGAAACACCACCCACCCCTCACCAGTCCTGGCGTGGGATTGTGTGGGTTCACACACGCGGGTCAAGGAAAGCAGAATCATGAGGACAAACGGCAGTGCTATGGCTGAATGTGCCCTGAAAACTTGGTCCCCAAACAACAATGCTGGGAGGAAGAACCTTGGGGAGATCAGTCACGGATATTCTGCTCTGACGAACAGATTAAGTCACTAATGGACAGTTGAGCTACAAACGGAGTGGCTGCGTATGGAAGCAAGTTCTCTGATTTGTTTGCTGTCTGGCCTTCCTGTCCTCCACCATATGACCACATAGCATAAAGCCCTCACTAGGTGCTGAGCACAAAATCCTCACTAGGTGCTGAACACAAAGCCTTCACTAGGTGCTGAGCACAAAGCCCTCATTAGGTGCCGAGCAGACACCAAGTAGATGTGGCACTGTGTTTTGAGACTTTAGAGCCTCCAGAACCCTGGGCCAATAGTCTCTCTTTATCGATGACCTAATCTGTGGTATTCAGTAATAGAGAAAACAGACTCAGATAGAGGCTCCTGATGTGAGAGATAAGGAAGGTGGTTTTAAGTTCCACTAGCTACCGTATGGAGGTAGTGAGAAGAGAAAGTCTCAGGGTGAAGAGACCACATTCTGCCTCGGAAGCGCATGTGAGGAGCCTGCAGCAGAGCCCGGGGGATGCCTAAGTAAAAGTGAAGTCCTGGCTGAGCAATGGTAGGACCAGTTCGTAGAGAAACATCCCACTGCAAAATGAGAAAGCAGCGGAGTATCAAACCTTAGTCAACACTAACACTTAAGAAATAGAGTTGGGTGGTGGTGGTGCACACCTTTAGCCTTTAATCCCAGCACTCAGGAGATAGAAGCAGGCGGATCTCTGTGAGTTAGAGCCCTGCCTGAACTACAGAGCAAGTTTCAGGAGAGCCAGGGCTATTCAGAGAAATTCTGTCTTGAAAAGAGAGAGAGAGAGAGAGAGAGAGAGAGAGAGAGAGAGAGAGAGAAGAAACAAGGAGGAGGGGAGGAGGAAGAGTGTTGGCACAAGCTGCAGCAGGCTGCAGCAAGACTGAGTCTCTAAATGCTGGGCTACATAGTGAGACTGTCTCAAAGAACAAACAAAACCAAAAACCAGAGGCAGAAAAGCTTGGCACCAGACAGGTGGTATGTGGAGCAGTAGCAGAGAGTTTATATCTGATCCACAGGTAAAAGGCAGCAGGAGAGAGCTAAATGGGAAAGGTGTAGGCTTTTGAAACCTCAAAGCCCACTCCCAGTGACACAGCTCCTCCAACGAGGCCACACCTCCTAATCCTTCCCAAACAGTTCCACCAACTACTGGGCATTATAACGTATGAGCTTATAGGGGCCATTTTCATTCAAACCATACACACAGGATGAAGCAAGAATCTGAAAATTAAAAGCACCAAGAGCCATTTTGTTTAGCTTTTCAATTTTTATTTTTGATTGGGAGAGGGTCTCATGTAGCCTAGGTTGGCCTCAAATTTGCTATGTAGCCAAAAAAAAAAAAGGCCTTGAACTCCTGATCCAAGCAGGTGTCACCTCACCTGCTTCTTTTATTTATTTATTTTATTTTCAAGACAGGGTTTCATTATAAAGTTTAATAGAGTTGGGTGGCCTCAGACTCACAGAGATCTGCTGTCTCTGCCTCCAGAGTGCTGGGGTTAAGGCTTCTATCATTGCCCCTGTAACTTTTCTTTTTTTCTCTTGTCAAAATCACTATAAAGCCAAGGCTGACCTTGAACTTGTGGCTCTGCCTCTACACCTGAGTGCTGAGATTACAGGCGTGCACCGCCATGCCTGACTTAAGTGGTGCCAAGACTCAGACCCAGGGCATCTGTATGCAGACTAGGCAAGCGCTCCACTGAACTGCTCCCCCAGCACTTTAACTATTGTTATTGTCACTTATTGAGACAGTGTTTCTGTAGTTCAAACTGGGTATCCTCGTGCCTCCACCCCTTCCCTCAGTGCCAAGTATAGGCGCGTGCCACCACACTCGGCTTCTGTTTGGTTCTAAAGTTAGAGAAAATGGAGTGTGGGAAGCACCCAGGGCCTGGGGTTGAAGGGAGGAGGCCCGGGAATAAAGAAGCAAGACAGTGGGCTGGAAAGATCCAGCACAATCAGATGTGCAGTACCGGTGACGGGCACCATGGTGCCATCCCCGGAGCCCTCCCCAGGGCACAGGATGGCTGCCCCTGTGGTCCTGCCCTGATCTCAGCCTCACCTCATGGAGCTTGTCAGCTTTCTGGGTCTGCTTCTTCCGGCTTCTCTGAGCAGCAACCCGGTTTTTCTCTCTCCTTCGAACCTTCCTGTCATCGTCCTCAGGGCTCTGGGGAGGACATGTGGCAAAGAGACATGCTCAGTCCACTCAGCTTAGTCCACTCAGCTTTGCTCCCTGGGCTCTGCCAGTTCACCTGCTGCCATGGACAGTACCCACTGCAGGCCCTTGTCGAGGGGCCACCCACTCAGTGCTGGGGCTTTGCTGCACGGCAGGCTCTGCCCCCATCCTGAGACATGTACAGTGCGACCGTCATTTTAAAAGGGTGCAGCCTGGTGGTGCCACGTTCGTGCAGGATACGTGAGGCCCTGTGTTCCATACCCAGGACCACAGAAAAAAAAAAAGTACAAAGAGACGAGGAATAAGAAACTCAGGTTAGGGAAGTTCTCCAGGTATCACGGCCGGCATGGCGGTGAGTGGGAAGTGGAACTCAGGTCTGCTGGTCTCCAAACCAACGTTCACAAACCTCTACCCCACAGGGCGTTTGCCTGGAAGAGCTGTGGAGGCACTGCTCATCTGAGAGCAGGAAAGACCGGGGTACCTGCTCTCTGGAACATTCTGCACAGCTTTTATACTGTCACACACCGGCAAGTCCTTTTGAATCCGTGCAGACCAGAACCATGCATTTATTACTAATTGCGACCACTCAACCCTACCAGGGCTCGGAGTATCTGGACCACCAAGGACGATGTGCTGCCTTGAGCAATGGCTGACATTTTCTTTCAGAGGTCAGGGTTATTCCAAATGCAAATTTGTGATGTATCTTGAAACTTTTTACCAAATATCCAAAAATTCTTCACGAGGAGGCATGAAATGGTGCAGGCAGAAAAATGCAGCTACCACAGTGAGGGCTTATTCAGCCGAAAGGGTTTGCCTTCCAGCACTGCCTTGGAACCATCAGGGGAGAGAAAAAAAATATCCTTCAAGACTGGGTCCAAAACATGTCTACAGGGGGAGGGAACTCAGTGACGGGGCTCACGTCCAACCTGTGTGCGGCCCAGGGTGAATCCCCAACCCCCGGCACAGGTAAGAAGAGACAGCACACACAAGGGGAGTGGAGCATGGAGATACTGTTCAGGAGAACACGGAAGGGTCTTGAATTTTGACTTCTAGAAGTAGTCTCTTTTTTCTTTTTTTAACAGAATTTCATATAGTCCAGATTGGCCCTGAACACCCGACCTTCCCTGTGCCTCCCTAGCTCTGGGATCATAGGCCTGCATCTCTGCATCCAGCATCAACATCAGGGGGGACAGGCTGTATAAACGACAAAACATGAGCTTTGCGCCCTTGCAGATCCTACCATAAACCCAACTCATACCCATTCTTCCAATGCATGTATTAACTAGGAACCTGTCACATACTCGGAACTCTGCTAGGCCCTGGGGACAGCTGTTCCCAACAGTGGCGGGTCTCGGCTGCTGAGGCTGGCCTGGGATACACAAACCTCACTCATGCTTGTCAGGAAATAATACTGCGTTATTCTCCAAAGCCAACAGGTCTTGGGGCAGGGGGCAGCCTGCCTTCTGTCCTCAGGATCTGTCACTGCAAACTTGACGTATCACCTCTCCCAGGTGACCACACCTGCCCACTCAGCAGAAATCTTGAACGGAGACACAAATCCTCCTTGGTTCACCTAATCTGTACAAACACCCTCAGGAGTTGATGCTATAGGGTTCAACTTATAGATAGGAAAACTGAGGCTCGGAGAGGCGAAGCAAATGGTACAAGGCTACTCCACCTAGGTGGCTCAGACTTCAGGGTCATCCTGGGACACTACAGGTGAAGCACAGAATTGGGAGGCGGGGGACTAGGAAAGATAAGACCAACTGTTGATAATGCAACTAGCTGGTTAAGAAGTGTCCCAATAGCTGTCTCAACTTCTTGTGGTGCAGCTGTGAAAGCTGGAGACAACAGAGGGGGCTGACCGAATGGAATCGAGGAGTTTCCACCCGCGCTGGGGGTGGAGTCTGCCCACTAGAGGCAGAACCCCACACCCACAGGTTGACCGGTCCCACGGTCCCTCGTTCCCCGTGCGAACCTTAGCGGGTGTGTTGGATGCAGGGACGAACCGCCCCTTTGGGCTGAATTCCCAGTATCGGAGCTCCGGCCCCCTCCCTCCAGCGCGGGCAGCGGGCAAGGACGCAGTGGCCTCCGGCAGCGCGGACCCACGTGTCTGGCGCCGGCAAGTCGGGGGGGACCACAGCCTTCCCAGGCTCCCGGGGCGCACGGCGGGGACGCACGTCAAGCGGTACCCTCACCCTTCACTGCCCTCCCCGCACCCGGCCCCCGTGTCCACTACCTGAGGCTGGTTCCCAGGAGCTGCCACACTCCTCTGCAAGACGCTGCCCGCCGGGGGCCCTTGAGACATGCCGCGCGCTAACCACACGGGGCGCCCTGAACGCGGGGCTCTGCTACCCGCGCTTCGCCCGCATCCCCGCACCTGCCGCCCCGCCCCGCCGCTTCCCGCTCTCCCGGC